TATATATATATATATATATATATATATATGAAATCTGTTGTGCTTTTTCTTATTGCACATTTTTTCTCAAAAAGATTTTGCTTTAAACAGGCCACACCTGTACCATGTCAGGTTTTGTTGGCTGCAGGGTAAAAGTGGAAGTGCTGACATGAATGGTGCTATAGAACGACACAAGTTAGACCCCACAAGTCTTACACAACATCTGACGTGGATGGAAACAAATGGCTGGAAAAAGCAGACACAGACAACAGCGGGAAAAAAATTCAACTGGATTAAAATTGTAGTCAGAATATTATGAGAGAATAAATATTATTTGAATTACATAATCAAGAAAAATGAGAGCGTGAAGTGATTGACTCTAAACAAAGGGTAAGGATAACACTTTGTTGTTCAAGCAAGGTGTAATGGAAATTTACCAAAAAAACAAAAAACAAAACAGTGCACTGTTTATCCCAACAACAACAAAAGCCTTGCGCAAATGTTGAGATGTCACTCTGTGGCAACAGATGAAGGCACTTAGATTTATTCTATGCTCGGCTTGATAACTTACAGTACAGGGAAAACAGGCCGCAGTGGAAAACAATGCGAGCAATTCAAATCATTACAGCGTTGACGTCAAAACACCACATTTAAGAGGTGTGTGTTGAAATGAATACACTGTCTTGGAATTTTAACAACTCGAGCAAGCCTTTTTGCCGATCCAGTGAGACAGGATGCAATGACTGACACATGACATTTAAGCAACCAAAAAGTTAGCGATGTGAAAAGTTCTCTCTTTTTTTTTCTTTTTTTTTTTTTTAAATTAAATAAAAGTCACGACTACTTAAAATGAGCAGGAGACTGGCTGCCTGCAGCAGTCCATTCTCTGCTAGAAGAAATGACTGGCAGGCCCGACAGGTTAGGTATGAAAGTGGTCAATCCACCTGGTGGAAACAAACAACTCTGATCCCAGGCCATTAGTTGCAACAGATATGCCTTGGGGAATGATGACATCTCAACGGCTGCCACTTCTTCTAAGTGTGTACGCCATCCATGCAACGCACCACACTGCCCCTACGAGGACAAAAAAAAAAAATGCAGGAACAACCAGTGTTTAGTGTTTATTTTTTAACTACAATGTTATTTACCTTAATTACGATGATAGTTTTGAGTTGTTGAATAAATGAGAAGTTTTTTAATCAATTAATAATCATTTTAATAATCGCAATTTCAATCTCAATCAAAGATAATTGTGATTTTGACTTTTTCCATAATCGTCCAGCCCTAACTTCAGATATGCCATTGACAACACTTCTCCAGTAAAGTGTGTCTGTACTAAAACACTGCTATAGCTAGAAGAGATACGCATATAGTTTAACAGCGGGAACTCGAAATATACTTTTGGAGACTCCAAAGGACATAATTCAGTTGTTATCTTTACAAAGGGACTTTATCGACAGGTCTGGTGTGCATATTAAAGCTAGCGTTTTCAGTCATTTGGGCTCCTCCGTTTGAAGAGAGATTATTTTCACAACGTTGCTAGAAAGTGAAATTTCTCAAAACTGCGAAGAAAAACACAACGTTGTACGTAATACATTCTTTCAAATTTCATTGAAATGTATTGGGCACTTATTGTGAAATTCTGCTCAGTAATGACAAACAAATCAACACAAGTGAAAATGACTTTTTTTTTGTAAGCATAGAAGAAATAAAAGGCTTATTTCAGCCAAAGCATGCTCCCCCCATGGTTTCCCTTGGGTCTGCATTCTGGGTGTGTGCAGCGTGTTTAGGCAAGGTCTAGGCAAGGCCAGAGAAAACAGTGCACACTGAAGGTCTTTTGAGCCCCTGGATTTTCTATGGGCCTGTAGAAAGGTCAAGAAGGGCCTGAAGTAAGTTTTGGCTGTGAACCTGGTCACCAGGAATCTGATACAAAGTAAAAAAATATAGTAGTAGTGATGTTCTGTTATGTGATAATCCGAGCAAACTCACATAACGTGCAAGACAAAAAAATATTCTTTGGGTTTTATAAAGCATAGTTACATTTTAATTTTGAGGGGTCGAGTCAAAGGCTTTTCCTGTTAATGAACTACTGAAAAGAAATCAGACCAACACATTCACGCCTCCGCTCCAGGCATTAAACAGTACACAAACCAGAACTGAGCATTAATTAAGCATTAGTTGGAACAAAGCTTGACACATTAGTTTTCGTTTCACTAAGCCAAAGCAGTACTCCCCACCTTCCAGGCCTCAACGTATGTTTGTCTTTTCTTGTGCACTGTTTTGTCCCTGGCTTCATTTCATTGCTCCGCATTCCTGTAGGCAGGGAATGGCTGCATGCTGAGACTCGCTATGGCTCCCTTGATCATACAGCGTGGCTCAAGAAAAGATGAGACAAGGCGTACCGAGCATGAACAGCAAAGTCTCTTATACGCAAACAATATGGTTTCTATTGTTTGACATGTAGGTAGGACAATCGCCAAAATTGATTTCGGAAATCAAATCAAAATTGGTTTTGGTTACAATTAGTTTTGATTGGTAGAAATTAATATGTGGCAACACAATTTCTGGCATCAGCTTCAGCTGCATAGCACCACACCAGGCCCTGACAGCAATGGTTTAAGAACTAAGAAGGACATTTAGAAAGATGAGAAATACCAAACCTGTGTCCTCAAGTCCATACCTCAGCATCTCTATGGACCTAGATAGGACACACTGAAACATAGAGTAGAT